ACCACTGGAGATCTATGGTGCTGCTGCAATAATGAAGTTTCATACTGTCCCTAGCAGAAGAAGCTGACAGAGATGCTATAGAATCTATCTAAACACAACCAAGGGCTTCAGAAATGATTAGCAGTTGATAAATTTGACTCTTCCTGAAGGCAAGTGTGGTTTCCTTCAGTTTGCCTCAAATTCAGCCTGCAGAATCCTTGAGCTACTTCAGCTTCTTAAGGTGGAAAGGATCAGCTCAGTAAGAGTGAAGGAGTCAGGGACAGCAGCATACACAGTTAACCTCTTGTGGGCTTGGTCTCTATGAGATACCTACACCTTTTGGAGATGTTTCAGAGATGGGAAAAATACTGATGTTTTTCCATGCCTCACAACCATGGCAGGTTGGCCAGTTGCCCTGTCAGACTGTACCAAAACGCCTGGTGCTAAATACGGTTTGGTCATTTGGGGTCTTTTCTGCTTATTTAGAACTTTGGGCAATTGGCCACTTACCAGGTACCTGTTCTTCAAGGTGAAGTCTTCCTGTAGCGTGGCCCTTCCTCTGAGAAGCAGCAGGGACTCTTGTGCCATCACTTTGGCTCCTGGGGCAGGAGCCTCCTGTCCGCAAGGGCCGTGGGGACAGTTTGCTCAGGAGGACACAGAGTCTCTTCAAAGTGCGTTGGAAACAACCTAGGCATTGACAAAGCTGACTGGTGGTCTGGGGCTGGAATAGTTATTTCAGCCCTATGGTTTCGTTTGTAATAGCCTGATTTAGTTTTAGTCTGATGTTCTAAATCTAAGGCCCCTCTCTGACAATAAAACTCCCAAATCGGGTTTCTTTCAGCTCCTACAAGTCCAAGTGTTCTCAACCATTTATCATTGTCTCTTCGGGCTAATTGGCATTTTTTTCTGTGTTAGTCTTGACCATTTCTCCAAATGCCGGTGAAATATTTGGAGGAGTTAAGAAACAGATGACACCCCCTGCACTCACACACACACACACATACACCTCCCCAAAGGGATAATCACAAGAATCTATCCACAGTTAAAAAATTTGGGGGCCTTCAAAATTACTAAAACTTTTGCTACACGTCTTGTCATTCCAGTTTACCTTAAAACAGCTTTTATCCTGGCCCTTCTTCTCTTAAGCCCTGCAACGCTGAAACCTTAATACAGTCAAGTTTTTTAAAAATAGCTGAATTCCAGAAGAGGGAGAAACATTAGACTAACAGGTGAGTGGAATGCGTTTTGCCCTCAGGCACCTCTGGAGAGTGATAGTCTATCATGTTAAAAACTGTAAGCCGTTGTCTCAGCCAGAGTTGGGCTGGGCTGGTGTTTGCATGAGACACGGGAGGGGGAACTGGAGCTGGTGCAGAAAGCCCCGGTGGGGAGCGTGTCGGTAGCATTGCTCTGAGTCGCTGCTCGAGACGTTGCGTGATGGCACCCGTGTTGTTGATGGGAGAGGTTTAAATGCGACCGTGAGCCTTTCAGCACTTTTCTATATATTATTTATTATATATTATTTATTCTAGTGCACGTAGGGGGGTGTGTGTGTATGTATGTAAAAGTCACTGCTTTGGCTTAGCTCCTTTGAGGATAGCTACAACTGCCCACGTGAAATCCTTGCAGCTTCAGTGGGGCTTGATTTCTCACTGATGAAAAGGTGAGGTGATCTGGGGAAATCCATGGCTTTTGTGCCCCTTTTGCCGTGGGGTGGCTGCGAATGCTCCCTGCTGACAGTCTCTACAATGCCTGTCTCTAGGAGCAGTGGACTTAAAGACTGAAGTCCAACGGAGCAACGGGTCCTCCAAGGGCAGCAAGAGAAACCACGGGGTTTAGTCTGCCTGAGGGAGAGGTGGGGGGGAAAGAGCCTCACAGGCAAGGTGGTTTTTTTCAAAGGGTTTGAAAAGACGCTTTGTGGACTGTAAGGAAGCAGCAGTGACTCCTCTTCTGCATTTGGGAACGTCGGGTGAGGGAAGAGGGGACTGGCAGCAGTGCTCGGGAGAGGGGAGAGGAGAATGCAAAACCTGAACTGCAGGGGAAGCACCCCGAAAACAGGAATGCTCTAGGAAAGCTGTCAGGGCGAGCATTTACCAAATGATTGTCTAATTGGATCTCAGAACAGTTCCACGTCGCGTTTGTCCCCGATGAGCTGAAGTGTAGCCCCAGCACGGGGTCGCAGGACAGGCAGGATTAAGGCGCAGGCTTGTTCTGGAAGCGCTGCCCCACGTCAGCAGCCAGCAGCAGGGCTGCCCTGCGCTGGTTTTTTATGGCCATATCCAAAAAGTGCTTTAAACAGGCTGAAGGAAAGCGACTCTGCTGTCTAAAAAAGTCCCTGTAGCAAGAGCAGGGCTTCAGGTGGGGCAAGTATGTTCAAGTCTGATCAGCACCTGCTGCCCTAGAGGGGACAGTTCTTCATAGTGGTCTGGTCAAGATGCCAGATGGCGGTGATGAGGAGAAGGAGGGGTGGTAGGGAAGATGAAAACCTGACAAAGTTTGTGGGGAGAGCCTTGATGAGCTGCTGCCCTAGAGGGGACAGTTCTTCACAGTGGTCTGGTAAAGATGCCAGATGGTGGTGATGAGGAGAAGGAGGGGTGGTAGGTCCTGACAAAGTTTGTGGGGAGAGCCTTGATGATCCTGGTTGAACACCTCCTCGGTCCCAGAAACTCCCGCGTCTTGTGCTGAAGGGTTTGGCATTCATACAGCTTCATTCCACTGACCCTTGAAAGCCCCCAGATTGCAATTTTTTTCTGATTTAAAGTTTAGGAACGGTTCTAATGCTTTACAAGAGTCTAATCTTTAACCTGGACTCTTCTGAGAATGGCTCACCGTGTTACTTTTCCACCTCCTAGGAAGAAGCCAGTAGTATTTCTTCAGCAAGGCAATTTCAGATACTGAGTATAACATTTACTCAAGTTTACTCTTTTTTCCTTAAGGGATAAAATTGGTAGGGTCCTAACACTGGATAATGTACCGTACGTGTAAATGACAAGCTTTCAGGTTGATCTAATTACCAATGTCAAACCACATCAAAATACCGAGTTGCCAGAAATTACAAATCCTGCGTAGATTTGACAGGTGAGAAGGGGAGAAGGATGTAACATGCAGGCCTATCAGCGGTAAGCTTCGGACACCTAAATTGGTTTGATCTAGCAGATCTTGATAGAATCGTGTAAAGTCAGCAGGGAAAAATCTGCCTCTCGTTTCACCACATGGTTTAGTTGTGCAACGTCTAATGTGAAGTGGCTGGGCATCTTCTCAGGTTATTCCATCCAGAGGAATGTTGTTAGAATAGGCTTTGATCTGGTAACCGTTTTATGTCTCAATTAATATTGGATTGAATATGTAGTAGTAGCGATCTCTTCAGGCAGTTCGAATCACACTGCAAGCGAAGCATGTCAGGTTTTATCAAAGGAAAACAATATGTTTGTTTGGCTTTACAGTATTCAGACTAAGTAGAAACGTTGTGAGTAAACTCGTTCGTGAAGCTTCATCGCAATATGGCACTTGCAACTGACCTTGGGTCTCGTGACTCATCTCCGCTGGGAACGTGGCACCCCTTGACGAGCTTACGATTCGGAATCCAAAAATATTTGCAAGCCAGAGGCAAAGACCCAGACTGAGAGGCAAAACTGGCGCAATAGATGAATCCCTCTCTTGATTTCCATCAGTCTTGAGTTCTTCATGTCTGATACTAGTTCAGAAGACATTGTCTTGCAGGAGTACCTGCAAATGCAAATATTGTTTGGCAGCGTTTAGGTCTTCTGGATTTAATGGCCAAATAAATACATTTCCAAACACCTGCAAATACTGCCTGCTTTGCTTTGCTTTGCAGAACTGGAGATAGCTCCTGGGCGGATGGCGTGAGCACATCGTTAGTATTAATAGAGCTATAAACAGAAAAGAGCAGGTGACTTCTGTTTGTAATTAAGCTAATCACAGAGGCAGCAGAGAGCTCCTGTCTTATCAGGATTACTGCTTAAACTCTGACTACTAGCCTGTGCCAGCAGAGCAAATACTTGCCTTGGCATTTGATGCTCCTTACAGCACCGCGAGCTTTGGGGTTTCCCTGGAGCGGTTAGTGGCCACGCTGGGACGTCGCGGTCGTGCAGCTCTGTTTTCCACTTCGACAGGTTACTCTGCAGGTCTGCTGTAAAGGTAAGTAACTTGAAGCTAAACAATTGGATATTTAAAACCCCTGACATAAATAAAGCGTGCAACATATACAGAGTAAGCCTTAAAGCTGTTGGGGTTTTTTTTTCTGCGAAGTTAGATCTTTTTCTTGCAGCTCCAGTTCTCAGCCGTTAACTGTAGTAACTTTTTATAGTCAGTTCTATTCTACTTCTTTCTATTCTACTTCTACGCTACTTTCTTAACTCCATTAACCCTTTAACTCCCTCATGAGCTTTAGTGTCAGTCATAATAATGAGAAATATTTACCAAAAAAAAACCAGGAAATGTAGAGATACAAGGGACTAGGCGTTGGCAATTGGTTCTGAAGGTCTTTCTGCCTCATTAGCAAGCCATGGGAGATTTCCTGGGAATATACGTTTCTGTAGGGGAAGCGAGGGTTGTTGCAAGGTGCAGCTGAAAACAGTCTGGGGAATGTCAGAGGAAAACTGCGTTTGCTGCAGTTTTGAACAGCAGCTCTGGGTTGGCAGTCTCCTGGAGCACCTTTGAAGTGCAGGTTAAATAATTCCAGATGATGACAAAAAAAAACAACCCTGTGTTAAGAAAACAAAAAAAGTTCTGGGCCCTCCGCTACTTTGCAATTGTTAAGAACCCCGTGCCCGTTCACCGCTCCTCTGGAGCGCCCCTTTTTCGGACATTTTTCACATTCTTTGTGTTGTGTTTCTTCCTTTTTCTCTGTACCCCAACTTCCCCACAAAATTTATCATAAGGTTTGTCTGGTTTTTGACTTTTGAGGGGGCTGAGGAGCACCCTCAGGAGCAGGGACAAGGTTGGGAAGCGCCCCACTGTCACCTGCTTCCACCCCCATTTGCCGGGCGTAAGGAAAGAGCAGCCGTCCCTGGGTGGGCTCGAACCACCAACCTTTCGGTTAACAGCCGAACGCGCTAACCGGTTGCGCCACAGAGACTCGCCGCGCTCCGTGCCTGGCTGAGGCGGGGTCCCGCTGGAGGAGGCCGCGGCGCCCCGGCGCTGCCCCGGCAGCCCCGCTCTCCCCGGGCACAGCCCTTGGTTGTTGGTTGACCCCCTCGGGTTTGCAGCCGGGCGGCTGTGAAGGGACAAAACGGGACTAAACCTCGGAGTTTTCCCCTCAACCTGGCGCGTCAGCAGGCAGATTCGTTCCGCGCTTATGGCAGCGCTGCCGTGCTAAGGGTGAGCGGGTTTAGGGGGGGCTCTTGCGACCGGCCTTGCTCGCGAAAGCAAAGGTGGCTTTTAGGGCTTGCGCTGGCACAGGCTGCCCAGGGAGGCTGTGGAGTCTCCTTCCCTGGGGAGACTCAAAACCAGCTTGGAAGCGATGCTGGGCGACCTGCTCTAGGTGGACCTAGAGCATCATCTCCAGAGGTGCCTTCCAAACCCCCCCCACCATTCCGTGAGTCTGTGTCATTCTTTGCAGGGTGGCAGCTGGCAAAAGCCGGGCGCCATCGACAGAGGGGACCGGCTGAAGTGCCCCCTCAGTGAGGACTAACCTGCCAGCCCCTCGCGGGCAGCTATCTGCTCGCCTCTCCTCGTTTCAGCTGCTAAAATAGGATCTGGTCAGCTAAGCCTTGGCAGTTTGCTCTGGTTGTAATGGCAAAAAGCGTATCTCTTACAGCTGCGTAACGCCGTGTGTGCCTTTAGGACAGTGATAAAGGCGTTCTGGCAGGCAGCGCAGGTGTGCCCTCAGAGTTGTAAGAGGTATTGGTGATATTCAGAAAGTAAGACTTTTTTTATTTATTTTTTTCCCATGTGCAGGGTTTATTAGGAGCAAGTCCCAGGCACTGAGCGTTTCTCTCTTGATTTTATTTGCTAGCTGCTGCAGATGACGCCATACTCAGTTTCACCATTTCATCTTTTAGTATTGGGGTGTAGTTACTACCAGCGAAACCAGCAGATCCTTTAAGAGTTAAAGCATCATCTCCCGTGTCTTCCCAGTCCTGTATTTCTAAACAGATCACGGTTTCAAGCCCCAGCCTAGGAAGTCCCTCAGTACAGAGCTGGCTGCACTGAGGGCAACGCTCTAGTGCACATATCCTGGTGTCTTGTCCTGCCCATCTCCTGTGATATTCCTCCTCCTTTCACCCACACCTGTGGCTTCCCGCTCTCTGCTTGGGGAACATCAATTCAAAAGAAGTGAGAACTCGAGCAGGGATGTCAGAGTTGACCTCTTTAGTCAGTCATCGCTGAAGCAGATAGAGACCAAGCCTGCCCACCTCTACTAGAGGACCGTGCAGGGGTAGGAAAGAAAATGGGCTTGTCTCTGTTTCTCCCAGCTCTGCATTTAAATAGAAATGCCTTCTTTCCTCTTGCATGCTGTGTTTAATTTGTGAACTCGCCAAGACGCTGTCTTTTTTCCAGAATCACTGGGCTTTCTTTAAAGGGTGAAATGGTTTTATTGCCTTTGCAGAACGCTGCAGAATTTTTGCATCGATGTACAGTAGAGCATGAGGTTACAGACTTCCAGCCACAGAAAGGGACATGGGTATCTGTCCTTTAAATATGGATTTTAAAGTAAAAGATGCTTTATCTTGCCTTGCAGAGGTACAGAAGCAATGAGAAGTGAAAGCTGTAGTTTATTAAGCAAAATTTCTTGTTGCAATGAAGGCAGTTTTTTCCCTCCGTCTGGCACGCTAGGAGGTGGGGGAAGAGGGGCACAGCCCATATTAAGCTTATGTCCTAATTTTATGGTGAAAGTTCTGCATATAGTCTAAAGACCAGTTACCATTTTCAGACAGAAGTGGCCTGGTACTGTGCAAAGGGATGAATATTCTTCTTGTAATACTTTAGATTTGGCCCAAATCACTAATTCTCAAGAAAATACCTCAACTCTTCATATCAAGATGGAACAATCACTTCAGCTTAAATACAGGAAATGTTGGGCATAATAGCCAATACTTGCACAGATCTTGTTAACAAGAACATAATTTCCTAATCGCTCCCTTGAAAGCCAACCCAGATGATAGAAGCATAGTTGAGCTCCTGCCAAACACCTCGAGAACTCTGATTTCACACCCAGGCTCCTGCAGGAGTGCCAGGGTAACCTCAACTATTCAGTGAGAAAAATATTTAAGCACTGTACTTATAGTTCCTTCTACTTGTATTCTTAAATACAAAAAATATCAGCTGGGATAGTACAAAAGCTTCAGTAAGAAAGAAGTGTGCAGACATCCAGGTGTGTGTGTATTACACGCCAAGGCAATATATAACTCTGGAGGCTTTATTGCCCTAGTGGCAACATCCTAGTCCGTCTCCCCATCTTCTTGAATCAGGCCTTGAGGAAAAAAAGAAAGTTTGCCCCTTTTTTTTAAGGTGGAGAGTAGTTAGAGGGCAAAAGAACAGATTCGAGTTTTTAGTGGTGGTGGTGCCTCCACAGTGAGGACACATGTGTGATTTAATGAGGCGTGCAAAGGCCTTTGAGCTCGTATCATCTTTGTGATGGAGGCGGTGAAAACAGGAGCCTTCACTGGTGGTGGAGGCTCATCAAGAGGTGATGCAAGCGGCAATTGCTGCACGTCCATAGATGTGTTGGTCTTCAGTATAACGCATCTCTGATACAAGTAAGCACTAAAAGCTGTTAGACTTCCCTCAGGTTGTTAACAGCGGTGCTTTTAAAAAGCAAACAACTGGGCAAGCTCACCCACTAAATGTTTGTAGACCATGTTGCAGGAACTGCAAATATTAGAGACAACTTGCATTTTATTTGGTTACGTTCATCCCATTAGCTTGTGAAACTATCAACTAGTTATCTACATTTTTTTTTAAACGGAGCAGATGACAAGTTGACAAAATTACTGTCTTGCTCCAAAGAAGTTTTTAATAGGCTCTCTGGGTTTCTAAGTGGGGTGAAGGGTGGAGCTAGTCATTTAGCCACACCTCTGGTGAGGTTTATAAAAGGAAGCTGTCTAGGGCAAAGCTCCTTTCTACCAGTCTGTGACAACTGGAACTTTTATTTAACAGGGTTTTATCTTTTTTTTTTTTCTTTAAAAAAAAAAAAATCCTACTATGCCAAGGCCTTATAAAGTTTCCCATAGTGGGAATGCTCCTCTAAATGAGTCTTTGAAACAGCAAGGTAAGGTAAGTCATGGAGTCTGCTTTACTACTTTAGTTTGTCTTTACACATAATATTGCTGTGCCAGAGAACTGAGTATTCCTGTAATTTCAAAGGTCTGTACTTTCTCTGCCATGTATAATTGGAATTTTGCTCTCTGTATCTTTGTATTCCTATAACACTAACTCAAATGGAGGAAAAAAAACCAAAAAAACCCAACTTAAAAAAAACCCATCCCCAACACGATGAGAGTTTGGAGAGATTGCTGTTTGTCACGGGGCGGTCAGGCTTTCTAGGCTGGTGACTTTGAGGGCTAATTTGCAGCGCCTGCCCACAACCCTAAGGTTAATGTGGTGGCTGTAATTGTGCTGCTGGTCGTAAGTCGCACCAATATTAATTTCTCAAGCATATAAATAAAAGATATGCTGTGCTTTATTGCACAATTGCTGTGACTTAGTCATCACTTTTTGATACACCCAAGAATCCTGCAGTAATTTTTGGTTTATACTGTATCAGGGTTCCCTTACATGTACATGCAAACAATCGCTTAGAAGTTATTCTGTTCAGTAGAGGTCTCGTGAGTTACTGTGGATGTCCCTCGACGAGATTCGGTGCTGTAAAGGTTTGTTTGCTGTTGAGCATAGGTGTTCATGTCGGTGCAATAGCTCTGTAGAGAGGTCTGTGTCAGTTTACAAGATGTCTGGGTGAAGTCTTTCATAATCATCAACTGCAGTCAAATGCATTGTATCAAAAAGTGGTCACAACGGTGTAGGGTGTGTAGCATGGATGTGTCAAGAGGGCTGGTCAGCATAAAAAAAATACCTATCTCATTACAGTGCTTACCTAGCCCTGGGCTTGTTGCTGGTGTCATGGTAAGGCAGAATAGTAAGGAATTGGAAAGAGGGGAATGAACCTTGAAAATGCATTGTAGGAGCTCCTTTCAGGCCTCTGGGAAAATGGAAGAAAGTCTGGATTTCTTTGAAAACTTAATGAGCAACCAGAGACAAATGTCTTAAAAGTCAACTTTTTCCTCCAATTACTTTGTGCGTAACTAGATTGGGGAAGAGTAACAAGTTTTGTCTTGTGGGCCTTCGGTTTAGAAGGAGTAGAAGTCACTAATGTTTTTGTTACTCCTTTCACCCAAACCATGGGAAGTATTTGAGGGTCACTAGTCTACTCGTTGTTCTCCAGAGTATGCTAGTGTCACTACCATGTGCTACAAAAACCACCCAGGTAATGGTTTCCACAAAACTGGTGGTATTGATGGGTTCTCCTTTTCAAGCTGTAAGCAAAACAGTGAATTAATGTAGCTGGCAGAAAGCTGACTGGTGGCCTCTTGGGCAGAATGGTGACATAAGTTGGAGAGGCTGTCAGAGCATTTGGACTTTGTGTGATTAGTAGAAATGAGAAAATAAATGCATCTTGTGTTTGGAAAGACACATTTTCCACCTTGATAATGCTGTGGCTTTGCTTTGGAGCTTTTGCTGTCAATATAAAACTTGTAGGATGCTTAACTTGAGCAGCGTGGTCATTTTTGCTTTTTACCATGTGTTTTTACTGATATGTAACAAATTGGGGCTGTGCTGGGTTGTGGTGAGAGGAGTCTTGTTTGACAGCATAGCTGTCCCCTTCAAGGGAGTCCCCTTGGCTTTATCCGCTGCCATTCTTCCGGGAGGTTGACATGCTGCAGTTAGATAGTTTGTAGATATTTTTAAGTGGATTGCATTTATTTTAAGTGCCTGGTGTAGACCAGACTGTTAAAAAATATTTGCTGTTGCTCAAGTTAAACACCCTGTATTGGTACAGTAAATGGGAGACATGAAGGAAGAGGACAATACTGTCAGTACTGGCAGAGAATCTTAGATGTCTCTGCTCTTGGATGCTTT